GACCTGCTTTTCCTTTTTTCCTTTTTTGGTGAAAATGAAACTGATCGGATGCTTCGGTGTGCGGCGTACAGACACACAAATCCTTTTTTTTTTTCCCAATTTCTCACTAGACCCCTCGCGAGTGACTCGGGAGCAGTCGAGGGGCTGCCGGTCGATGGCGATCCCCTGCTTTAAATGTAAGGCTGCACATACTATGGTGTGTATGGCGAGCACAGCCAAAGCCATTACCATGCCTCCCCGCTTTGACTCCGCAGCATTGCCGTTATCTTGATGCATTCATCTTGAAGCTCCTGTTTGCCTCCGTATTCCCTGTCAGCTGTGTACACACTCCAAAAGAGGCCGTTTCCACTCTGAAAGTGACCTCACTGAGCCAGCCGGAGACACAGCATATTGATCCAGTCGCAAAAAAAAAAAACAACAACCCAAATTGAGTTCGAAGGCAAGGCGACTTTAGTTATATGGCATCCTGGCATCATTCATACGCACAAGGCAAATGTGTACGACTTCACAGAAGTATTGAGCAGAGAGACAGAGGCATGAAAAATATAATTTCATCCATACAAGATCCACAAACACTTGCGGTGGGCTGTAACAAAAATAACGTCATTTCCAAGATATTCTTTACCGTTCTGCAGGTTACGTGCTGCAGATGTTAGGTAGGTGTTGTATCAGGAGTGCATATCACCACCACCACCCTCACCGAGCGCACCATCTGTGGTGCTCGAACGGCAGGCTGAGTGTGCAGGAGTCTGTCATGCTTGTCTGGACTAAGGACTGCCTTCCTCTTTTTGGTCGGGGAAAACATACGTTGAAAGTGCCTGTTAAGTTTAACCAAACATGTTCTGCAAGTGAACCGTTTGTCGAAGGCGCGCGAGGTGTTTGATGTGGCTTTTGAAGAGAGCTTTTTGTTCGATGGTTGTTCGAGCCGCACTGAATAAATCCGCCGTCAACACCGATCTGGAAATAATTGAGGAGCAGATGAAAGGCCAACAAGTGCTGGAATTCTGCCTGTTTTTCATTGACAGTCACGGATCATTAAGAGGACCGCGCAAACCCAACGCCACGATCCCTCGGGCTTGCTCAGTTCCAATAGTTTTAGCCATTTGCAAACTGTAAACTCACGCAGGGTCTTGTGTTAAGCAAGCAAGACGAGGAAGAAGCAAGCGGCAGCACGGGAAAGTATTTCATCTGTGCATCAGTGATCAGAGTGGAAAATGAAAGGACCTTGAATTGCAAATGCAAAACATCCCCTGACAATTCTGAATTCCAGAAGAATAAAATATTGATTCTGTACACTGGTTCTTCCGTGCATGTTTTGTTTTTCAACTCCGAAATGTGTGGTCCAGAAGTGTGACACGAGAGCCGAAAAATACTCGTACTGTTATTGGGTTCCTGCTTGCCTGAGGTGGGACAGCAGGTCGAGAGAGCATTATTGCAATTCCACCAGAATGATAAATTTGCAGACCTCCATCTTGTAGCTGTCTGATAACATTTCACGATTGCTGCTGGAGGGAGATAAGACGCATGTCGCAAATTAAAGATGTTGTAAGCGTTTACTCTGGCAGCAGAGCAGATTTTTTTTGGGGGGGGGGGGATTACATTAAACCACAGCAGAGGGAATGGGACTGCGCGGGTGGTGACTGCAGACTTTTTTCATAAAAAGCCCAAAAAAGTTTATTGAGTTAGAACATGTACGAGTAGGTATGGACTGTAAATCGGGTCTGTCGATACTATCACATCGGAAATTCTGCTTGGCACTTGAGTGCTTCTGATTCCAAGTTGATTTTAAGCATGGAACAAAGAGCGAAAGGGGGGACTTTCTCCGGGGCTTGTGTCCAGGATATTGTCAGGTGCCTGCCGTGACTGCGCGAAGCGTTTCGGAAGTGCCTGTCTTGGTGGCCACCCATCTGGCTCGGCTTTGCGGGACCTTGACAGTCACGGATCATTAAGAGGACCGCGCAAACCCAACGCCACGATCCCTCGGGCTTGCTCAGTTCCAATAGTTTTAGCCATTTGCAAACTGTAAACTCACGCAGGGTCTTGTGTTAAGCAAGCAAGACGAGGAAGAAGCAAGCGGCAGCACGGGAAAGTATTTCATCTGTGCATCAGTGATCAGAGTGGAAAATGAAAGGACCTTGAATTGCAAATGCAAAACATCCCCTGACAATTCTGAATTCCAGAAGAATAAAATATTGATTCTGTACACTGGTTCTTCCGTGCATGTTTTGTTTTTCAACTCCGAAATGTGTGGTCCAGAAGTGTGACACGAGAGCCGAAAAATACTCGTACTGTTATTGGGTTCCTGCTTGCCTGAGGTGGGACAGCAGGTCGAGAGAGCATTATTGCAATTCCACCAGAATGATAAATTTGCAGACCTCCATCTTGTAGCTGTCTGATAACATTTCACGATTGCTGCTGGAGGGAGATAAGACGCATGTCGCAAATTAAAGATGTTGTAAGCGTTTACTCTGGCAGCAGAGCAGATTTTTTTTGGGGGGGGGGGGATTACATTAAACCACAGCAGAGGGAATGGGACTGCGCGGGTGGTGACTGCAGACTTTTTTCATAAAAAGCCCAAAAAAGTTTATTGAGTTAGAACATGTACGAGTAGGTATGGACTGTAAATCGGGTCTGTCGATACTATCACATCGGAAATTCTGCTTGGCACTTGAGTGCTTCTGATTCCAAGTTGATTTTAAGCATGGAACAAAGAGCGAAAGGGGGGACTTTCTCCGGGGCTTGTGTCCAGGATATTGTCAGGTGCCTGCCGTGACTGCGCGAAGCGTTTCGGAAGTGCCTGTCTTGGTGGCCACCCATCTGGCTCGGCTTTGCGGGACCGCCCAGCCCTCAGGGCACGCAGCATTTGTGTCGCGATCATAAGGCTTCCCTGTGTTTCTGTGGCTGCAACGACAGCTCCATCCTGTTGTGGCGACATGAGTGCTCGTGGACTCTGAGGATCTGCCAATGGCATTGCACAAGAGTCTGAGTGCTCTCCATTACTGACTTTGGCTGAGTGCACTCATTCGAGTCCCCTCGCGCCCCGCCCCTCAAAACAACAACAACAAAAACCAAGTCCATCAACAGATCCGGTGTCGCTGACGGGATTTGTTCAACATGTTAAGATACGACATGGAAGCCGGAATATTTTATCGGGGCCTCACGATTGCGCACAAACATCAATTATGCACTGATAAATCATTTTAATGCTGCATATTTCAAACCGTCAACCTCATAAAAAGGTCGAAGAAATAATTTACCTTTCTGCCTGCTAGTTCCGCGGAGGCAAGCGAGCTTTTGTCGCATTTCCACTGTGGCTACAACTCACATCAGCATAATTCAAGCATGACCATCTCCCTATCTCACTTCTGCCTTTCTCCTTGGAAAAACAAAAATCTAAGACCAGTGCCTCCATCGTTCATCATCCAGACTGGGTGCCCTTCCCCCCCCCCCCCCCGCTGACCCCCTTTTTTTGCCGTGGGAGAGAGCTTTAGCTTTGGAAGGTGGAAGGTTCTTATCAACAGTCTCAGCACTTCAGCCAAGCTTTCAGTCACCCCAGTCCGTCAGTTTGGCCCCTAAGAGTCGAGCTCCCTGTTCATCGGAGTAGAACAATCAGGTTCTGTGTCACGCCAAAAGTCAAAAAACGGTCGATTAGTTCATTTGTTTCGCGACTCAATGTTCTTGCAGAGCAACACGCTGTGTGTGTGTGTTTTCCAAAGAGTAGACCAGTATGAATACTTAACGCCAGTGGTCCCCAAACTACGGCCCGCCTCCACATTTTGCCCGGCCCCCTAAACAATACCAGAGATGCATTCTCATTTTGTTTTCAGTCCAGCCACGTGATGGAGATTTGTACAAGAATAAAACGTAACATTCGATTCCATCCTTGTGCCCCGTCCGAAACCCTTTGCTCCAAAATAACAAAACAACTCCTGGACATAGCCCAATCTAATAAATAATGGCAAAAAGATTAGGTCAGAGAAAAATTGATTGGTTATCATTTATTTCAATTAAGAGTGTTATTATTTATTTTCAGATTTATTTATTTTTCTGTCCAGATCCCAAGGTTAATATTTCGTTATGTGTGGCTTTTTGGAAAACACCTCTGCAACGTAACGCTTTTTGTTACAAATTCACCCCGGCCCTCTACAGAGAAGCGAAAAGTTATTTGGCCCTCACTGGGAAAAGTTTGCGGACCCCTGACGATGTGGATGTGACAGCGAGTGGTTGTTCGTCTCTCTATGTGCTCGGCGACTGACTGGCGACCAGTTCAGGGTGTCGTGCGCCTTCTGCCCAAAGTCAGCTCGGAAAGGCTCCTCCCCCTGCGACCCTTGTTCAGGATCAGCGGTGATGGCATTGGATGGATTTTCCAAAATATTCACTTGAAGCTAATTTAAGTCTGTCCATTCCATTTCATTTGCTAACCCTTTGATTTGGTGGTTTCATGAAAATACTACTACTACTACTACTACTAATAATAATAATAATAAGATACTGGATGTAGCAGGTCCAGATTTATATCTGCACGCCGCGTGGCAATAAATGTCATCATATCTTTTCAGCTCGCATCCATATGTTTCCAGTCTACAGCAAAAGAAAAGACGATCAAGTAAATCACTGTTAGTCATTTGAAGAACACATGTGGGGTCTTTTCATGCCTGGAAATGTATTTTGGTGGTCGCGATCACTATTTGTAATGCACAAAAAAGATTGAGCCATTGTTCGTATGTGTTTTCGTAGCACCTCTAACAGTTCATTTTAGCCACTCTTGTCGTGATGACGTTTTTATCCAGCTTTGTCTCTACTTGTGTGCCGCAAGGACAGATTGGGGAGTGGAAGTTGCATTCCACCGCTCCTTTGTCCCCTCCATGTGAATAGCCTTTTACACGAGGCTTTGTGGGATTGATTGTCAAAGGCTTAATGAGCGTCTTAACCAAGCCGGAGGCTTTAGGCAACATATGTGACCAGGGTCCTCGGTGCTCGCGTTCCTCCGTATCAAGCCTCGCTGACGAAACTCGGAGCCAGCTCAGCTCTGATTCTTCCGCCAGTTTACTAACAAATACTTGCTGTTTATACTGGATGTTATTGCATTTGGAGGGAATGTATACATGCCTTATGGGGACCACCGCAAAGGATGATGTCACTTGTAAGTACTGTATATACACCAGATTGCATGTGTTCTGTGAGAATCTTCTTACTTACTTACATACTACTGTATTAAAAATTGTCGTGATTTCGAAATCAACTTTTGAGCAGCTTAAAGCCGGATTGTAATTGACTGCATATATTTATGCTAATGTGTTTGTCATCTTCTAAAGGGATAAATGTTTCACTTGCTGGTCGACTTACTTTTACACCTTATTATGATGACAATTTCTGTATAGATGCGTTGTATTAAAAATTGTCGTGATTTCGAAATCAACTTTTTGAGCAGCTCAAAGCCGGATTTTAATTGACTGCATACCGACCGAATAGCATTGGAAAAGTTAAGTCATGATGCTTACCTCTGGAATATTGCATTTTTTTTGTAAAACTCTAACCTGCCTTAATGTCACAAAATTTTAGAAATGACAAATTTTTACACCATCTCATAAAATATTTCTGCTAGTGTGTTTGTCATCTTCTAAAGGTGTCATTTGCTAGTCGACTTACTTTTACACCTTATTATGAAGACAATTTCTGTATAGATGCGTTAAAAAAAAAAAAAAAAGACCTGAACCACTATTAATATTCAGTTGTGCAATGTTTATAAACCTTCAGTATTCGGTATAAATACAGACACTGCATTGTAAATCCCGAGTTGTCTGGTCTTGTAATCATTCCATTGGATTTGTCTCAACGCAACCTCAGCTTGACCCTACAACAGGAAGTAGGCCACATATTCTGATCGCCGGATCATACAGAGTACCCGCTGTAACATTGTCCAGATGCTTTGCTCAGAAACAGAACAGGAAATTCAAGCAGTGAAGTATAACACCGACGCTCTTGTTTCGCTGGTAATTCTGCTCTTCACGGAGAGCATTTCCCTCATTTTTTTTGTTCAGATTGAGATGAGAAATCAAGTCTGGTCGAATGTCTGAAATACGGTTATTCGGCTTGTGGATTTCAGAAACAAGTGCCATTAATCATTTCCCGCTGTGGCATACACAGCAAGATCAGGGCAAATTGCCAGCTTTCGTCAAAGCAAGTGAAGAAATTTGGAGAGAGAGGAACCCTGTGCTTGTTGCCACAAAATTACGACTCCAGTCAGTGCAATCCAATTAGTTAATTCATCTCTCTGTTGGCCTCTGGGAAACTAATGCGATGACTGTCCTGGGCAGGGGGCACTCCTGTTGGGCTTCAAAGACGCCAGATCAGAAGCAAAATGATGAACTCGTCATAAGATGAGATCCAGACAGGTGCGGCACACCTTCCCCTGAGCTTAAACATACGAACAGGTTCAGAGGAGGGACAGCACATGCGGCAATAATCAGATTATGTCACGTTCGCGAAGTGGTAGGTGGAGGAGCCCAAAAAGCAAGGAGGCAGGAGGAGTCGGATGGACCGAGCAAAATGTATTTCACAAAAATACAAACAGGAATATGCCGGAACTGAAGTATACAAACAAGGTCCTGAAAACCACAGGAGACCAAAATAACAAACCTACGCCAGAAACAAAACATGACACAGACGCACACACACACACACACACAAACACACACACACACAAAATGATCCGACAAAGACTAACAGAAGCCCAGGAACGAAATACAAGCAAGGTGACGAGACAACGAGAACCACCTGGACAAGACACAAAAGGGGTGAGGGAGCTGATTGGTTCAACACAAGGGATGACGAGAACAGGTGGAGACAAAAAGGGCACATGAAGGAACAAAACCAAGTGTAACAGATTACATAATTCAGTTTGGAAGTGGTTTGCTTGTTGCTCCAATTCTTTGTGTTTGACTTGCGAGCAAACAATTTGAGATACGAGTGCATTATGGTGGCAGGGAACTCAACTCACCAGACGACCTGCAACTGTTTGGCAAAACAAAAAAAAAAGAGGCATCAGCTTGCTTATTGCCACCTCCAGTTGAAGGTTAATGTCAAACTAAACATAAAATCAAGGGAGCGAAAGATTTTTTTTTTTCTAAACACTGCTGAATTGGCTTTATTTGCAATTTTTTGCCTGCTGCCTACACCCTGTGAATAGACCGGGTGCAATGTGTTTAATTCTATTTAATTATGTCACTACTGTATGTTTTTACAAAGTACAACAAGTGCTCCTTTTTCCCCCATTAGAATATACATGCTAACCATTTTGGAGGAAGGCTGGAACGGATCGATGGCGTTCTCATTCAATTTCATGGGAAAAGATGATTTAGGATGGAATGGCAGGGGAATGAACTAAAATCCGATTTCAAGGCACCACTGTGGAGGCTTGATGATCAAAATAAGAGAATATAATTGGTCTTCACTTTTTTTTCTTTCTTACTGTATTGTGACAACTCTCTGGACTCTGAGTTCATTTTGGATCAGGGAGGTCAGACTTCATTAGTTGATCCAGAACAGACAGGTCGCGGACCCTCGGCACCCCGGTGCATCAGCTCTCTATCCAACTCCAACTGAGCCTCATTTTTTTGAGTGCCGGCGCCCTCACTTCCTCTCTCATCCTCCTGTGACAGTCCTGAAAGTGCCCTCCGCCTGCTAATGCTACACACTCCTGAAATATTAATCGTGGCATAATTGAACTGTCACGCTTCTGAAGTGCAGCAAAATTGGACAATTACAGAAGCAAATTATCCAATATTGTTCCCACTTCCCAATCTCATTTAGTGTCTTGTTTCAGATTTTGCGCTACCAATAATGTTTTTAATAATGGATGACTTGCATGGCCAAGCTTGTAGCAGCAAATTGAATGCGCTTATTATTGTCAGAGGGAAGACTGTTGGGTGTAGGGGGGTTGGAAATAAATAAATGCCGCAGGTTTCTGAACACAGTGACACAGTGCACGCCCAAAGATAAGAAAAGTAATACACTTTGTTGATCAATGGTTGATGATTTTTTTTTGGGGGGCGGGGGGCATTCTAATGACTGTCAGAAGCGTGTGGAGCTCCATCGCTGGTTTTAAGCAAAGGCAATATTTTAATCCTTCCTGACAAAACGGTGAGCTGCTTAATCCTATTACAGGCTTTGACAGTAAACTACACTCGGTCCACACGTGCCCGTCTGTTGTCTTTATGTGAGAAAGCAGCAGATGGTGCCAGCTCAAGAGCCTACCGGACTGAACTTTGCATGGTTTCTCTTGGACCCCACACCGCCCTCGGCAACAAATACACAAGCGTGCCGAATTCCCACGCAAGCAACTTTTCTGTGTGATCTTCCCCATCGAGTGAGCCGTGATACAGTCTGGTGACTTTGTAAAACGTGCACTGCGTTTGAGGGTCAACGCCAAGGTGCCAGGGCAGGCCAGATGGCCGCGATATAAGGAATGAAGCTTGCCAAAAATTTCGAACAGGTTTGCCAACTTTTTTTCCAACAGTCAATAAGTCATTGAGGGAGTCATCGAGATGCAGAATTTGCAGCAAATATGTCAAAATGCCACACGATCAAAGCCTGAAGCGAAGAAAAGTACATGACCACCTAACCGCGTGATATGGAGGAATGTGGAAGCCATTTTGCCGAATGCTTGCGTTACCAAATCTGATTCTTGCCATTCGGAGGACGACACAAAGGAAATAAAAAGTTGAACAGCAGAACCGAGGGCCCAAGCGTCATTGCGACAACACTTGAGGCAGTTTTCTCACCTGTCCACCACACCAACAGCCGAAAACCTTGGGACGCTTCCGATTTTTTTTTGGTTTTTGTGGGCATGATTTTTTTGCACCGTCACGATCTTGACATTCCGCCAGCCTGTATTGTAGCTCCATAAAATCAGTGTAAAATGACAACCTCATATTTTGTTCATGATGACAATTTGGACTGATGTTTGTCTGTAACCGCATCAGGTTTGTCCTAAAATGACTTTTTTAGTTTTAAATACAGTACAGACAAAATTGGATCACGACCAACCGTTAGAAATCTGCACTTGAGCCGAGTCTATTTGATGCACGCAGCTAAAAACGGAAGGGCTGCATTATCTGTTAGCCTTTGAAGTATGCTGATTTCCATGCAAATATCTTTCAGTAGTTTTTCTGAGTGCAGGCGTGTATGTTTTTATTCAAACTTCAAATGTTGGGCTCTAACAAAAATAACTCCATGAGGACGGTTGTAAAAGTCGGCAAAAGGTTTGCCTTGGAACACCTCAAATGATTCAAATACTTTTCTTACTGTGGTTTTGAGCCCCCCCCCCCACCACCCCCTCCCAAAATGGAATGATTTAAATCCAGATGATCAATTAAAAAAAAAGATTAAAAATGGACAAAGCACGAATGCATGATGCCTGCGGGAAATTGAAAGGTTTCTTCACCAATAAACATGTCACATGACATTGATGAATTGATTGGAAGGTTCAGACCCTGCAAAATGATAAAGCCAGCCAAGGATGAGTGAAGCAGAAAAAAAAAAAGTTATTTGTCTGCATTTCAAGAGTCTTTCTGGATCTTGACTGACCCTTTTTTCAAGAACACGACTTTCCAAGCAGTGAAAAGTGATTGGATTTGCCTCCCCTTCCCCCCTCCACCGCAGTGCATCCGTCCCCGCTGAGTCTTGGCTCCCCAAAGTTCGGGTTCATATTGGCCTTCCCCCAGCGAACACTTTTGACCCTCCAGCCCGATTCATCAATCTCCGCCGGCTCTGATCGCTGTTAAAAGGGGCGTAGGATTAAGAAGACCCTGGGGTCTTTAAATCAGGCCAGCTTTAGGGGACCCCTCATGTGCGTCGTAGACGTCCGTGACTTCAACGTCGACGTGATCACTCACCCCACTCAAGTCCTTTGCGAACCTCCCATGACCAGATGGCAGTGTTCGTTCTCAAGAAATGTTTTTGGGGAATCGCAACTCCTCCTCTTGAACAAAGCGTGCGCCCATGAGAGCAAGCGTCGACCTTTTGATTTTATTCGACATGTAATGGCGTTCATCAAAACGTGTGGGAAACAAACGAATGCCTCGGGCAAGTGAAACGCCGCTATTTACTTTCAGGTGAGGTCACGAGCACCGGCTTGCGATGTGGAAGGCCAACCGAGAGAGCCCTGAACCCCGCTGTTGATATATGTGGGTGGATCTGAGGTCACAAACTGGTTGAAATCGTCGTATCGACCCAGGAGGCCCCGAGTTAATACCATTAACTTGAGGAATGGTTGTTCAGATCAGAGTGCCTGGTCATTGGAGAACGCGTCTGGACAGAATTAATTGAATCTGCCCATTGGTCTCTGGTTCGTTATGAATGACTTTTCTTCATTCGCAGATTGAGAAAACGAAACGGCACACTACACACTCCTGATGTTTAAAAAAAACAAAAAAAGAAAAAGAAAAAAGAAAAAAAAACCTACACACCTTTTTCAGTGCGTGAACATGTAAATAGGAACAATACTGCAGTGTTTGTTTTTTCTTCAAAAGTTCCACTCTGAGACCCATTTCCAACGTTTTATTTCCCCCTCAAATCTCTCAAAATGTCACAAGAGCAGTTTTCAGTTGTTTTTAGTTTATAAGAGTCGAGACCGGTCCTCCATGGAAGCACACCATTGTTCTTTATTATTTATTCATTTATCTTGCATAAGTGACTTGTATCTGTGCAAGTAAATGTCCATCATGACATGTAATTGGACTTGATTTGTGCAGGAATGAGCTTGTCCTCCTAATGTTTTTTTTTTTTCTTTCTTACTTTCTCTTGAGATAGATGTGTCACCGTCAAAGTACGGCTTTTACTCCTTGCAATTTATTCGCCTTTTACGGCTGTCACAAACATGCCCGGTGTCTTGCCGGGACTTTTCCAAACAGTTTTTCTTGCTTCTTCCCGAGCTGGCAAAGCAAGCTCTTTTGCACAAATCTGCGACTTGTTAAAAATAGAAATAAATCGGCTACTTTACATCTTTGTATGTATGGCATTACTTTGATGGCATTTTGCATAAATCCCTCGAAGTGTTCCCGAGTTTCCCGGCGTTACCTGGTAAACGAATTACTCAGGCATGATATAGTGAGCGGGGTCACCGTCAACCTGCGGAAGCCAAGTGCACCCTGGAGGGTTGACACTAAAGCAGGCAAAGTTCTCTCTTTCCACTTTCTGACCGCTCGTGCGCTCATTAGGACTTCGAAATCTGGAAAGTCGATTGCAGGCAGTACTTGGACTGCGAACTGTTAGACAACAATTGAACGATGCTTCACGGTCCTCAGGCGGCAACATCGCACGTGTCGCCCCATGCTGTTTTTGCAAAGCTTTGTTGTCACTCAAACTGTTATTTGATTAAATCACCGATTAAATCACTTCGATTTTCAATTTCGAATGACTATAGCGCACTTTAACACATTTGTCAGGCGTCCTGATTTTATTTTTATTGTCCAAAGGCAAATCCATTTTATGCGTCTATGGGCGTTTCGACATCAAACTAAAAAAGGTAATAGGCGAGTGATGGAGTTTGTGTGGGCGGTCGACTCGAGTGGGTAGGTAGGAGACTTTGATGTGAATATTTCGTCGCAATTTACATGTTGAGCAGAGTCTCCCTGTTGCTGCAAATGAACATGTTGAGTGTGCCTGGTTCTGCATGGCTGACGAGAGGGAGCGGGCGGGAGCTCGGTCGCGGGGGATTTGTTGTTGTCTGGGCTTTGCCAGAACGTGGGGGGGGACTCACGGGAGGGCTTCTCCGTCTGCTCTCTATTCACAGGTACCACCTCTTCACTACTCCAGAGAGAAAAACTGAGGAAACACCGGGGACCGCTCGTTTCTTGACGCCCAAGATCAACAATGAAAATCATGACGTTCCAGAGAAGCTGGAGAATGGCGGCCATTCTTGCCCCAGTCACCTTTATCTGTGCCTTTCATGTTACTGCAGCCCTTGAGATCCCGCTGGAAGGTCAGTGACAGCTTTTACTCTTGAAGACAGGACTTGAAATAATAAAGAGAAAAAAAAACACACACACAAACAATTGCTCAACTTCAAAGTGCAAAATCACCACCTTGGATTGTGAGAAGAGCAACTTTATGGAAAACTATTGCTGTGTGTGGCGCTTGGCACCCTAAACTTCAACTTTTTTTTTTTTTTAATTGTACATGTTATTAATTTATTTATTTTGCATTGATTGCCCTTGAGGGTGACCATCTGTTTTTTTTTCCCCCCATTTATAAAGCAATAGCTGACATCACGAACTCAAATAACGCAGCGTTCAAATCTATTTGGCAGTGAAGTGAATTGTTGATCAAGAGATGTGCAGATTTGCAGGGAAGGTACGGCTGACTTTCGGGTCGGGTACTTAAACCCTCAGCTGCCACCTTTCAATCACAGGGCCGACCGGCGACGGAGGCAGACAACCATTCACGGTCACATTTGCACCTACAGGCAATCTCGAGTCTTCACTGAAGCGTTTTTATGTGGGAGGAAGTTGAACCATGGCGACCGCCCCCACACGAGAAGCACACGAGAAGCACACACACACAAACTGAACACAGTAGGACCTGAGCTGAGATGAATTCAAATTTGCAGCTCATCCTCGGTGCTGTGGGGAATCTGTGCTAACCGCGTAGCAACTCTGCAAGGAAAGGTTATTTATAATTCTTACAATTGCGTTTGTGTACTATCATAAACAAAAAGGCCAAAAAAAAAAAAACATCTATTCTCATTGGGAAAAGGAAAGCGGTTGAATAATTTAGAGTACGCTTACTTTGATCAAGCACTGTGTGAATGGAATATATTTACTGCTATTATCCATCTTGAATCATGTTTCTTGTATCGTTCGTGTTTGTGGGTATTTGAGTTTCCTTGGAAACGCATATCAAAACCTCCTCTTCTGAATTATTCAAGACTGTCTCGCAGGGTTCGATAAAGAGCAGTTCAAACATTTTTTTTTTCTTCGAAAAATGAAAAGAACTTTTTGGGAGGTCTGTCTTCAGGGGGAATAAATAGCATGTGACAAAAAGGAATGAATCCCCAACTACGTTTTGCTTTGTTTGTATTCTTCCCACTTGCTGCGCTTGGATTTTCCAGTTTTAGGTCATGTCAACAGTAAGTTTGTTCCAGCAAACTGTAACTTTGTTTTACTGGAATTCCGTTGCCATCTCAGTTGTTCATCTCCTGACGCATGATGTGGAACACGCCGCCTATGTTTGAGCAGGGGCCCATCCCATTTCATGTTGAGCCTTTTGTGTTTTTGTTCAACATCGGAGTGAATTGTGTGTTTATCTTGGGAAATACGTTGCAACTCTCATTTTTTTGTTGTATTGCCGAAATAGCTATATTCCATTGTACAATTATGCCTCATGGTACAGATACATATAAACCATTCATGACTCAAAAAAGAATAACACACACCTGCTCCAAAACCTGCACTGTTCAAACGATATTGACTGTCGTGGAAGTCCGCATGGGACCTTTTCCGAGTTACTCCAATGTTCAAGCTTTCTGGTTTTTGTCCCAGTTGAGCAGCTGCCCACCATCACCGCCCAGTCGCCAAGCTCCCTGATAGCCTTCCCGTTTGATGAGAGTTATCCCATGACGTGCGAGGCCAAAGGGAATCCCCAGCCGGAGTGAGTAGCAACATTGGCATCGCTTCGGCTTGATGGAAAGTGCGAAAACAATAACACGTTGCCCAGACTGGGACAAATCTTGACTTTGTGGTTCTCAGCATCAACACTGGCCATCATGCACGCTGCAATCTCAGCTGAAGGCAATGCTATGTCACAACTTGTGCCGTGTAGATTCCGATGGATGAAAAACGGCCAAGAATTCGACCCCTCTTCCGACCCCCGGCTGATGAAAGAAGAGGATTCCGGGACTTTTGTCATACCCAATAACGGCAACCTGACAGAGTACCAGGGAACGTATCTCTGTTACGCCTCAAACAAACTGGGGACGGCCACATCGAAGGAGATTGAATTCATCGTCCCTCGTGAGTAACACATACACTTCCCTGTATATGTGTGTGTGTGTGTGTGTGTGTGTGTGTGTGTGTGTGTGTGTGTGTGTGTGTGTGTGTGTGTGTGTGTGTGGCGGGGGATTGTGTTGCTCTATCAGAGCTCTTTCAGAGCTAAATGATTTGAGTAACTGTCGGTTGACCCGCTCGCCTGTGAGTCAATTTGTTGTGGCAGCAAGCTTTGAAGCACCTCTCAAATACCTCGAGGCCTTTAGCCTTTCCATCGGATTTGAAACAATTGTATTTTTGCTCCCGCACACTCGAAGCGCATCATGAGCTCCGAGGTTGACCACTCCGGTTTGGAAAAGCAAAACACCGTATTCTCTCAGAGCCATCTTTGGGAGAACGTCATGGCTTTGCTTGTTGTTTCGAGCCGTGCGCGACGCTATTTGATGGCCTTTGTCTGACTTTGTCTCCAGATGTCCCAAAGTTTCCAAAAGAAACGCTTGATCCTGTTGTGGTGGAGGAAGGCCAGCCTTTTACTTTAAAATGCGACCCGCCCAAAGGAATACCCCCTCTGCAGATCTATTGGATGACTATCAGTAAGTGGTGCTACTCACTAATATACGGAGCCTCCACAAATATTATCGCCAAGCGTCACGATGGCTCACGCTTTCCACTTACAGTCCGTATACGGTACTTGTATGCTGTTTGTCCTTAGTAGTGATACAGGTCAGTACACTATCGGACAAGTAGTTATTGTATTTTTTTTCCACTCCATTGAAGAGCTTGATGTTAACTAGAAATGTTTGGTAGTGTCACTAGTCATATTAGTAGCACACAGTTGTCAACTCGAGCACACTGACTTGTCTTACTGGTGACGACAAAGGCCGTACTCGACAGACATTAAGCTCAGTATGAGGGACATCGCCCCCCAAAAAAATGCTAAAATTGCTTTCTGTCGCCTTATTTTCTTGATTAGAAATCTCGAATGACGAACGACTGACGTGTGAATATTTGGGTGCATTTTGGTATGCGCAGACCTCCAACATATCGAGCAAGACGAGAGGGTGTCAATGGGCTTGAATGGAGATCTGTACTTTTCACACGCGGTGGAGAAGGACAGCAGGAGGGACTACTGTTGCTTCGCCGCCTTCCCAAGAATTCGAACCATCGTTCAGAAGACAGCCATGTCGGTCGTTGTCAAGACAAGTAGGTGCATTATTGTTGTTACTATTTCCTCCTTAATCAGCAGGATTTAGTTGCACTTCCATAGTTGCCATTATACAGCCGCGCCGGCGCCGATCCGTCCTTGTTCACATGCATCCCACTGGTTTTAGTTTGTGAGTTCAGTGGTATTTCTCATTTTGCATCCACTTTTGTTGTTTTGTTTTTTTTTCATCCCATCCTCCCGCATTTCAGAAAAAAGTCACGGCATGAGTCCTGAATCTGGTGAGTTTTCAGCGTTTTGTGCACATTTTCATTTTACGTTTGTGAGAGAGAGAGAGAGAGAGAGAGAGAGAGAGAGAGAGAGAGAGAGAGAGAGAGAGAGAGAAAAAATCTCCCCTCTCCCCGCCCTC